AGGAGTAAATAAATTTAATCTACTGACAGTTTTTGCAGATTAAAATATCAGAACTTCATGCTTCACTCACACTTTTTTACTCCTTAAATAAATATTATTAAATAATACAATTTGCCACTATCGCTTTCTCTTGACAGAAGTAAAAAATCAGTCAATGGGAGCAAAAACGCTTTACAAAAGAAAAAAAAAATAAAGATGGAGGTCAGAATTTAAATTGCTAGAAACTGGTATACTTTATAATGCTACAACTTGATTCCAAAGTTTATGTAACCTCAAATAAAAAGTGATACAACTGACTGATAGAAATTCAGTTGAGGCTGGAAAAGCTTAACACATCTTTACAACTTTGCTCTACCTTAGAACTGATTTGCTTTAAAAATGCAGTGCCCTCGTGCAAAAATAAAAATGCATGTTATCTGTATCTCAGCATGGCATTGTATGCTTTCCCAGGATAAAATCCCAGCTCAAAGTTGATGAAATTATGTGCCTTTGACCTTCAGTTCATGTATTATCCATTTTTTCTGCATAAAGCCTGGCACAACATATGGTTTTGTACTGTGGAGGTTTGTTAGAAAGCAAAAAAAAATATAACACTCATAGCCTACCTGCATAACCTATCCAGCTTACAATATAACCCAACCAAGTCAAGAAAACTATTAGTTTATACCTTATACTTTGGAAGGCTCCAAACCTTAAATGAGGTATCGTGGCTTTTATGCTGAACAATCAGAGACTTTTGAGACTTGAATCTACCACCAGTTTATCAGCATAATTTTATTTCTCCATACACACAAAACTAGCTTTTCACACAGATGCATCTGGTCTTTTCTGATTTTTTCTGAACTATGGAATGAGTGGATGAAACAAGGGGAAATAAAAGCGAAGAAAAACCTAACATAAGCCAGCAGTAAAACAGGTGGGAAAAAAAAAAACCTAGACAAAAACAGAGGAAGGACAATTTACTTGAACCAAACAAATGGTAACTTTTTATCATATTTGGTACCATATGTAATTGTTGCAAGCAAATATAAGGTGGAAGCACTGGCTCATAAAAGTTGTTACCCCTCACCAATTGTATTTTGGAAGTACTTTTTCTAAAAGTACTACTTTTTTACTTCAGAAGACCACCCCGTATGTATACCCTCATTTAAAATCCCTACTAGATCCTATGCAAAAAAAGAAAAAAAAAAAAAAAGTTTTTTTGCCTTCAAAGGCACATAAGTAAATAGAATTTATTTTGTTCTTTGTGTAAGGAAAAGGCGGGGAAAGCTATTTTACACAAGTACTTGATCTCTCTTTATACACAGACACATCATTAGTTATGAATAGTCTAAGATCAGATCAGGACGCTTGTATGCATATGGATTCAGTGTGCATGTATATAGCTTAAACAGTATTTGTAGCACCTTCCAGCTCAAGGGAAAGCCTCCCTAGTGATATAGGCAACAGAATATATAATGACATAAATGGTGTGTATTTAAAATTTAATTGCCCAGTTTCGATCTTACGTTGAAATGAAAACACAGTTTGAATTTTGGTTGCGTTTCTATCTATCAGCAGAGTTCATTCCATTTCTTGCCTTTCCTATCACAGATGACTTTTTTTCATTATTTTTATTTTTCATTCATTCATTCATTCCTTTCTCTCCTTATCTCCCGAATTGTTTTTGAGTTCTCATCTTACATTTATTCTTGTTTTTTTATTTTTGCTTGCTTGATAAAATTCTTAATAATCTGGTTTTCGTTTTTTCCTATGTCCTCTGTCCTGCTCTCATCTGTGAAACAAAGCATTCACATTTCTTATATTGTACTGAAGACAGACACAATGAGCTATGAATTACCTTAGTGAATTACCTTATGCAATTCTCTTTGTAGTTCTTCCAAAAAAAGGAGAATGTCACAGGATTTATGAATTCTTTAACCTTAAACTTAGCTCATTTTTGCATCTGAAATTTCCACTTACATTTTGAAAATTAAATTCTTGTAAATACATTTACTTTTATTTTAAGTCATGCATTCAGTAAAGATATTTTTAGGACCACACAATTAAATTATAACAGCCTGCAATAATTTTCACTATTTTGTGCACTCATTAAAATACATACCTGTACAAAACTCTCCTGTTTCATCATCTATGCATTCTCTGTCATCGCACTCACAAAATTTGCCATACACAAGTCCATTTCCTTCTGAGTTTGCACATTTACACCTGCCACACTGACACGTGCCTGTAAACATTTAAGACAATACTCAATGACTGCAGTTTATAGAAAGAGCATCATTAGTCCATCATAGGTGGCAAATATTTTATTTCTGAGAAGTCTGAAATCTGAAGATCATCCAATCAAATAAAGACAGACACAGAAACAATCCATATCATCAAAAAGCTTAATCTTAGTTGTAATGAGATACAGCATTCCTGTGCTTTGGAAGGGTAGAGTTGTTTTTTCTCACGACATAAACCAAAAAAGAAAACCTTCTGACGTAACGAAAACCCAGAGTGCTCAAACAACGTAAAGGAGGGAAATGGGTTTGTAAACAGATCTCTTTGGTCTGGTCTCACAGTTGTTTCCTGGTCTTTTGATCAGGGTAGCCCCCTTACCTCAGTGGCTGCCCCTCTCCATGATCTGCCCTCCCAAACAGGAATTGTTGCTCCTAGGGAAAGAAGAATTGCCCTTTTTCCTTCAAAGGGTTTGCCTGACCTGAGCTCATAACTAAACATGTTAATGAGTTATACAGTCAAAAAAAGGGCAAAAATACATTAAAATCATATTAGAATCAAAAGTATGACCATGTTGGTCATATAAGATTTTCCTTTTTTCTACCTCTATCACCTTTATTAAAATTGCAAGGCGAGGAATTTTGTGCAATACCACGTTACTGGGGCCCTGTGGTCAGTAGGCTTGCACAACTTGTTTCAGCAGTCGATAACATCACTATGCCAGCAAGTGTGATTTTTTTTTAAAAAATGAACTTCACATGATTCATACTTCTCACGTTACACACATACGTATTTTAGAAAGCATGGTTATTGACATCAAAGAATTCCTTCAAAATAGAATTTTTGTGCTGATATTACGCAACTAGTTTGCAGAAACCATTTTACATTTTACCCCTACAAGTACAGTACAACTTTTACTAAACATATTAATCTAAAGAACAGAATATTGGGCTCTGGGACAGACATTCTAAAAAATGTTTGCAAGAGTTAATATAATAAGATAATAATACAACTGATAATACAACATAAGTAACCTATAGAACTCAAATTATGTGCTTTAATTACTCAAGAAACAAATACAAATAAAAATTTTGAGAAAACTGCCATGTTTACAGATAATCTCCATTCTGACAAATGATTAGGAACAGCTGAGTCAGAAAAGCGAAATTTTAGGTGGATCCTGGTTGATTAATGAAAAGTATTACAATAAATAATTATTTGTGTGACTGTAGAGGACTGTTTTTGTAACAATTCATGTCATCCCTTCCCATCTTTTATTGGCAATAAAAAAACAGAGCTCAGACTCTAAGGACAATGGTAGTCATAGATCAAAAGGCAATCCCTCCAAGAGAAAATAAATATGACTACAGACAAAGTTACCCCAGACTCCTTAGCCAGTCTCATCAGCATTCCTGTCCTGTTTAATATCAGCAAAACCAAAAGCATTCATTCACAAACACTTTCCTACTTACAGTGGTTGTTCAGCTTCACTGTTTTTTCTGTGAAGACTGGGCCACT